GTAAGCAGACCAACGTCCACTGCAGCCTTGAACGACGGGAAGTACGTCAAAGTCCGACATCGTGACGCCGTCCTTGTCGTGACCGGTGGGGTTCCAGGCGTACGCAATCCAGTGTTTCATACACGCAGCCGACTCGTTGTAACTCTGAATACCGCGAACAACAGCGGCGCCCATTACCGAAGCCAGGTGCGGGTCCTCTCCGAACGTTTCATACACACGGGGCCACAACGGGCTGTGCATGATGTCCAGCACAGGATCGAAGATCCAGGGGATGCCAGCAGCAAGCGTATCGCGGGCAGTGATTCGTCCTTGCTCGTACAGCAGATCGGGGTTAAATGTGGCGGCGCCGTTGATCTGCTGGCCGAAAAACACCGTGTCCGTCACCAGTGCGTTGCCGTGAGCGGAATCGGTGCCATCGGGTGGCCGCCGTTCTCCTCCATGGCGATCTTCTGGATGCCAACAACGAACTCACGCATCTGAGCCGTTGTCCAACCCCACTTGCCGTCGATCTCTCCTAATGAAGACATGGGAGGACTTAGGTACGAGCCGACATGATACTTGGCGAAGTCACGGACGGCCTCTTCATCGAGCTGGTACGTCGAATTGATCAAGCCGTAGCCAGCGATCTGGGTCATCTGGCCGACAATGTCGACGCTGCTGAAGTTGGCCATGATCTCGTCAACTTTGGTATCCCATTCGTCTGCAGCAGCGAAGTGACCGGCGTTGAAGACGGCTAGGATCAGCACTGTGTAACACACAGCGGAAAGCCACGAGCGGAGCATCTTGGACGGTTGCGTGCTTGTTCCTGCTCGATGTTCGACGACGAAAGCGAATTGAAAAGTGAGCTAGAGACCTCCCAGAATTGACAGCGTCCACCGCTGAAGAGGGTCGGTCCGTTCCTTGATATGAGGTCCGCTTAACCAGGTATCTCATCGACTAGCAAGATAACAAAAGAACCATCAAGGTTTCCAAAGCCTCAAAGAAGAGCATTATGATAATGTCAACGCTCAGCGAGCTTTTTTGCTAGAAGCGCACACATATCCTGATTAAAAACGCTCATAACCTAGTCCCAAAGGCGAGCAGCAAAGACTACGATCTCGACGAGCAAAGTGTACTACGTACGTTGGCCTCAGTGCTGAACCAAGTCGCAGACTTTTCATCAATAAAAATGCTTTGGCTCTCACTCCCCGCTCACGTTATGGCGAACGTGATCAACCAGGAACAATCAGCGGGTGCTGCTGATTACGCCGGATCTGAAGTTTTGTCCGCGAAATAATCTCCGCGACTAAGCAGAAAGGGCCCTCGGACCTCAACCACACCCACTTGAGTGCTTCCCCATCTGCTGGGTCGGTGACAGTGTCAATCACTGTCACAGTGATCCACCGTGTACATGTATCGCCACACCTTAATGGCAGTGGGTCATTGCTGCGACCGAGATGGCGATATGTAGTATTTTCATGGGTAGGCCAAGAACTGACAAGCGTTTGCTGTCTAATATGCTGGTAATTTCCTGAAGCGCTTGTCTTGGACAGAAGCGAGGATGTTTGCTGTTTGCTATGTCATGTCATAGAAAAGCGCAGTTTAGGTGACTCCCCGTAAGTTATCATGATCGACACTCGTGCCAACTCGCCGCACTGGAATTATTTCTCAAACTTCAAAGTCCGAGTTGAAGTACCCGTCCAAACTTCAGCCTTTCCCAAGCAGACCTGCAGATGTCGCCACCACTGATGCGTGAGCGTGTGTGCCGGGCGGCTTCTACGTAGCCTGCATTGCTGGCGCTCAAAGACTCGGGATGTCGCGCCGCGGTCAACGCTCGTGGTGCATGCGCGGTGAACACACTCTCGTGGTGTCTCCCTTGCGTGCCATGCGGCATCGACCTGCCTTTTTCGGTACCTGGACTGGTGCAGTGCTGCAGTCACTGTAGCCTACAGTAGACCTGCAGTCTGCGGGTCTGCCAGGAATCGTGTTGCTGGTTCCAGAATTTCCCTTTACATGCACGTCAATTCCAAGCCATGAGCTTCAGAAAAATGCAACAGTTTTCACGATTCGAAGTCTTTTACGGCGTTATGAAGCACCAGAATAACCTCCTGCAATTTCGCGTATGCATTGGTTTCATTGGATCATCACTTTGCTAGTCAGATTACTACTTATTATATAATCACCTTGCAATTCCTTCCAGCGCAGGGTCTTCTGTAGTCCGTCATGGCCTCCCATTGTACTATCATCGCCTGAATATCTCGTTACTTTTGATCCCTGGATAAGTCCATTTTGGTCGACACGAAGCCCAAGAGTGCCACGGACGTTGAGAACATGGCCACACGCGGTGCGATGAGTGGCCCCGCGATGCTCAGAAAGTCACGGAAACTCCACTTCGTTATATTCTTGGGGACTTCGTACGTGAGCAAATGTGACAGATAGCGGTTGAGAATCCGTCCCTGGACAGAGTACGCAGCTACGGCGGTGATGCCGCCCGCTGTGAGGCTGCTTGCGGTCTTAGGTGGGGCTTCGTGGACCGAAGAAGGAAGTGCCAACGCCGTACCGACCTGATACATGCCGTAGCCCGTGGCCGCGCCCGTGCCCACCGTGCCGACGATGAAGAGAGGGAGGACCATCTTGCTGTTTGGTGCTTCACGTCACTTGGATTGTGTGGCACCCCCCAGCTGTGCTGCGATAGGTCCAAATGATGGGTGTCGGTCTCAGCCAAGCAGCGCCATGGTGTTCAATTTAACAGTGTAGGGGTGTTGGAGATCAAGGAGAAGAGGAACATACTGCATCCTTATTAGTCTCCTGGTAACTTACCAGGTAAGCTCCATTCCTGTGAGCCGTCATGTGTTCGATCATGTGATCGCACTTAGTGTCGAAGATGGGGAGGACGGATGTCATGCAATCATATATTGAAATGAAGTGTTACCTCGTCGCTTTTGGTTGGCCATCGACATTTCGACTGAAAGGCATTTTTGCTTTTCATTTGAGAAATCGCCGAGTCTAGAGTGTGTGTGGGTGGAGCGATATTTGATCGAGATTCCTATGATTACAGTAGCTTAAGACAAGTAAATTGCCAAGTCTCCGGACGATGCAGACGACACTTGCTATTATTCGCTAGACAGTATATGATGGAACTCTTTAACACCTCGGTAGAGATTTTGTGTAGCGCCAGCACTATGGATGGAATACGCAGTAGATAAGGCGCTTTCGCGCTCGTTACAGGGCGCTTTATAAAACACTGTCGTATGGTCAGTCTCGCTTTTAATGTCAGCCTCTAGCACTGGCATGAATATTCTTGTGTAGCAGCGCGAGCTGCAGTCTGACGAACATTCTCATGCCATAAACCCTGTGATCTACGATACCTCAACCTATATCGGGTTTAGGAATATATGATGTTTAAAATTCATCATGCATACAAACACTGATACCTCCCTGGTTGCAAAATTATCGTTATTAGTTTTCCCAATACCGCTCCACCGCATCTTTGCCAGCCATTTCCGCATCCATCGAGTCCCTTGAACATGGCGGACTCTGCCCCCACGCCCGACGCTGCGGCCCCTCCGGCCCCTGTCAAGATGAGCAAGAACGCCATGAAGAAGGCTCTACGCGCTGAGAAGAACGGTGGCGCTGTTAAGAAGGAGAAGGATCCGAACCGCTGGGCTCCTAAGAGCGATAAGAAGAAGAAAAAAGAGGAGAAAGAGACTCCTAAGGCTCCTGCGTTTGTAAACCGCACGCCCAAGGGCGAGAAGAAGGACATGACTGAGCCCATGTTGTCCGCCTACAACCCCGTGGCTGTCGAGGCTGCGTGGCAGGACTGGTGGGAGGCTGCCGGCTTCTTCTCGTGCTCAGACGACAAGATCGCGAATGCCAAGCCTGACGAGCGCTTCGTCATGGTTATCCCTCCGCCCAACGTCACGGGCTCGTTGCATCTGGGCCACGCGCTCACTGTAGCCATCCAGGACGCGCTCACTCGCTGGCACCGCATGCTCGGCCACGCCACGCTGTGGGTTCCAGGCACGGATCACGCCGGTATCGCCACTCAATCGGTCGTGGAGAAGCGATTGCTGAAGGAGGAAGGCAAAAGCCGCCACGATCTGGGCCGCGAGAAGTTCCTGGAGCGCGTGTGGGACTGGAAAAACCAGTACGAGAGCCGCATCCACCACCAATTCCGCAGCGTGGGCTGCTCGGTGGACTGGGAGCGTAAATACTTCAGTATGGACGACAACTGCAGTCGCGCTGTGCGTCACGCCTTCTGTCAACTGTGGGAGGAAGGTCTGATCTACCGCGCCACGCGTATGATCAACTGGAGCTGCAAACTCAAGACCGCGCTGTCCGAGATCGAAGTGGACTACATCGACATTGAGAAGCGCACCAAACTGGCGGTTCCGGGACACAATCCGGAGCGCAAATACGAGTTCGGAGTGCTCACTTCGTTCGGATACGTCGTGGAAGGCTCGGACGAGCAGGTGATCGTCGCGACGACGCGTCTGGAGACCATGTTGGGCGATTCCGGCGTGGCGGTGCACCCTGAGGACCCGCGGTACAAGCATCTGCACGGTAAGTACGTGATTCACCCGTTCAACGGTCGTCGGATCCCCATTGTACTGGATCCCGTGCTGGTGGACATGAGCTTCGGTACCGGAGCAGTCAAGATCACGCCTGCGCACGACCCCAATGATTACGAGTGTGGCAAGCGCAACAACCTCGAGTTTATCAACGTTTTGACGGATGATGGTGCTATTAACGAGAATGGCGGTGAATTCGCCGGTATGATGCGGTACGACGCACGTATCGCTGTGGAGAAGGCGCTGGAGGCCAAGGGACTGTACCACGGCAAGCAGGACAACAAGATGCGTCTTGGTATTTGCTCCCGTTCCGGCGACATCATCGAGCCGCTGGTCAAGCCTCAGTGGTTCGTCAACTGCGATCAGATGGCCAAGGACGCCATGGCTGCTGTGACCAACAAGGAGCTCAAGATCGTGCCTGAGTCGCACGAGAAGACGTGGTTCCGCTGGCTGGAGAACATCCGCGACTGGTGCATTTCTCGTCAACTGTGGTGGGGACACCGTATCCCTGCGTACTTCGCTCGTGTGAAGGACGAGGCGTTCATTGACAAGAACGCAGAGGACGCTGGTGATCGCTGGTTCGCTGGTATCTCGGAGGAGGACGCACGTAAGAAGGCGGCGGCCAAGCTGGGCGTCTCTGAGGACAAGATCGAGCTGGAACAGGACGAAGATGTGCTGGACACGTGGGTAAGCGCTGGTCTGTTCCCGTTCGCTGTGTTCGGCTGGCCCAACAAGACCGACGACTTCGAGAACTTCTACCCGACGGACCTGCTGGAGACTGGCTACGACATTTTGTTCTTCTGGGTGGCGCGTATGGTGTTCATGGGTCAGAAACTGACGGGTAAACTGCCGTTCAAGACCATCTACTTGCACTCGATGGTGCGTGACAAGTACGGCCGTAAGATGTCCAAGAGTCTGGGCAACGTGGTGGACCCGCTGGAGATTATTGCCGGCTGCACACTCGAGGATTTGTTCAAGAAGCTCGAGAGCGGTAACTTGCCGGCGAAGGAGGTGGAGAAGGCCAAGAAGGGACAGAAGCTGGACTTCCCTCAGGGTATCCCGGAGTGTGGAGCCGATGCGCTACGTTTCGGTCTGTTGGCGTACACGCAGCAGGGCCGTGACATCAACCTGGACATCGGACGTTTGGTGGGCTACCGTAACTTCTGTAACAAGCTGTGGAACGCTGTGCGCTTCGCCATGTCCAACCTGGAAGGAGGCTTCTCTGCTGCCGATAACGTGGCCGACACGGTGCTATCCAACGCCGTGGTGAGCTCTCGCGACCGCTACATTCTCAGCCGTCTGAACCACGCTATCAAGGTCTGCAACGACTCGTTCGCTGCCTACGAGTTCGGCGAGTTGACGAACGCGCTGTACAACTTCTGGCTGTACGACCTCTGTGACGTGTACCTGGAGCTGACCAAGCCTGTGATCAACGGCGAAGACGCTGAGGCTAAGCTGACGGCCCAGCAGACTCTGTACGTGTGCCTGGAGTTCGGTTTGCGTCTGCTGCACCCGAGCATGCCGTTCGTGACGGAGGAGCTGTGGCAGCGTCTGCCGGGCAAGCGCTCAACCGCCAGTATCACGGTCGCGCCGTACCCGCTCCCGATGGACAAGTGGACGAACCCGGAGGTCGAGGCCAACATGGAACTGGTCAAGGAAGTGATTCACGCGGCCCGTTCTGTGCGTGCCGAGTACGGACTGGCTAACAACGTGCGTCCCAAGTTTTTCATCAAGTGCAGTGACAACGACGTGAAGACTGTGATGGAGACGCAACTGGACGACTTCAGCACGCTGGCCAAGGCTGGTGACTCCAAGTGCATCGTGGACGAGGAGGCGCCGCAGGGCTGCGCCATGCACAGTGTCAACGACAAGGTGCAGATCTTCGTGCTGCTGGCCGGTCTGGTGGACTTTGCGAATGAGATCACTAAGTTGGAGAAGAAGCTGACGAAGATCGCGCCGTCGCTGACTAGTCTGGAGAAGAAGATGGGACGTGAGGACTACGAGACCAAGGTGCCCGAGAACGTGCGTGAAGCTGATGCCGCCAAGAAGGTCGCGTTGGAGACGGAAGTGGCCGGTATCCACCGCGCTATCGCTGAATTCAAGCGCCTACTCTAATTCAGTGAGAAACGGAGAGGTACCGTATGCTTGAATAGCGGAATTTTACTTTTGCATAGGACAACTTTTATGCTTCTGCGTCTTCGTTAGGGTGGATGATCGCTCCTGGAAGTCCAGCTGACAGGACTGAGCTGTCATCTATAGCCAACAGGTCTTTCTCTTCTAACTCTAACTGCTCTTCTTGCTTGGGTTTCTTGATCTGTACCACGTCTCCGACTATTTCGTCGGGTCCAAGTTCTTCGCCTAGATATGACTGGAAGTTGCTGAGTCTTGACAGCGTGTCGTTAAGCCTCGAGGAGAAGAAATGAATCTGTCGATCGAGCTTCTGCTCGTATTCTTCAGCGGATTCCAGAAGGCTGGTGAATAACAATAACAGTGAGGTGATGACTCTAACCAGTATGTAATTGGGAAACTGCTGACCTTGAGGCTTCGTCTCTTGAGACGTCCACTTCGACATCTTCGTCAACGGACTGTAATTGATCTTCAAGTCCCCACGCTTTCTTCAAGTCCAAGAGCTTTTCAGCTTCATCCGACACCGTAAGGATGTCTCGAGTTACATGTTTCAACTTTTTGATGCCCTTTGCCGCCGCAGCTCGAAGTTTCTACACAAAAAGATTAAAGTTACAAAAAACTTAAGGTGACAATCCTGGAAATTATGGGTAAACTTACCTTGGCAAGCGAGGTTTCCTCCACACGCATGCCATGCGCTTCGAGTTGGTGTTTAGCGAGCTCTAGCATGGCTACTCCATTGATTGCGGCTGCTCTCTCTCTCACTCGAGAGGAATCAAAGCGCTCACGTAGAATTGCCACCACAATATTCTGTAAAAGCACAACGTTTCAAAATTAGTTCCAACCACTTTACACAAAATTGAGTGACAAATTCATACAAGAACGACAAATGACGTGGAGAACTGGAACAGTAAGCGGAAAAGTTGATGGTCTACACGGCCAAACATTTCCATTGAGTGCCACCTTGTCGCTAGAGATCTTGCCATTGTAGCTCTGCGAGTAACATTACAGCAGGTTAGACGTAGAGAGAGAAAAAAAATTGAGATGTCTTACATGCCAGCCGAGTAGCTTCGAAAACTTGAGCGTGCTGATGGAAAAAGAAGTACCCCCGCGTGTGCGAATCCCAATACGTAGACCACAAGTAGCACCGCGAAGCTCTGCAGTAATCCTTGTGCGCGTTCCAGCTTATCAATAGTACTCTCAAGTGCCTTGATACTCTTTGCCAGACGAACAATTCGCCACCACATTAACACCGCACACACTGCCGTAAGATGCCGTTCTGTTCGCAAGTATTGCACACTCGCTCCAAGGTCAACGTACGAGTTATGGGATGCTTCAGCGAGCGTCATTAACATTGGGAAAGCAGCGTGGGCCACTGATTGAAGCCGCAATACGAGGATCGCTATCCACAAAACTACAATCGAAAAATCCGCGATGTGGCTCGGGATCACGAAGTAGAAAAGTCGATACTGCAAAAGTTTATCAAGTTGCTTGTGTGCAAACCACACGACGCCCAGCAGAATCCCCAACTCCGTAAGGAACCGCGGATAAACCACAAACAAACCAGGATACTGGTTCAAATGAAGCGGTGTAACTTCAGCGGAAGCCACAACCTCACCGCCACCACCTTCATTAGACCCTGCAGTCGCTACTCCAAACTCGAACAGAATTTGAACTACGCAGTGTAAATCCAGCGGTGCGTTGTATAGATTGAATTTTACAAACAACGCGCGACTCGACTCATCCAGCCATCGACCATGACGAAGTTTGTTAAATTCGCAACGTGCATCACAGTCACTTGAAACATTTGCTCCAAGTCGTGGCAGAAATCGCCGATAGCCACTTCCTGGGTACGTTGCAAGGGTGCCATGATAGGCTTGATATTCGTTACTAGAAGCACTCCAAGTGTCCTCGAAGTAGGGCAAACGGGAGACGAGAGATTTGCGTTCTACACTTTTGGAATAATGCGGATAACACCAGTTTTTGTCGTTTTCTTGGTCTGGGAGACCGAAGTTACATGACGTTGGGTCGACACGAAGAAGTCGCAGCTCCACTCCACCGAGCAGCATATTGGTTCGATCCACGATTCCTATCTGAGAATCCACGTCATCGTCGAAGCTGTCACCATTGTACCACGTATCTTGGAAAAGAGCGCTCTGAGCAGGTCCCTGTAGGTAATTCCAGACGTCTGCAATGGAATTTACGTCGTGAAATGTCTTCGTAGTTGAATCTAATGAAGATCCGTCAGTCCAGGGTGTATCCACGACGGCACGCCGAACAGCAAAGACGAGATCGCTTGAATGTTGACCGTAGAGAGCAAAAGATGAGTTGAGTATGAAGCAGAACAACAGCAACGCATACAACGCGATGTCAGTGCGACTCGCACGTTCGCGTCGAGCTAATTCGCGAGGGTCGAATAGAGCACACTTCTGGAAACTGTGTAAAATGCTTTTGATAGCGAGGCGAGTATGGCGATGAGCTTTTCCTGAGTAAGCGAATAGTGCCACATAAGCGAGATCCAACACTTTACACTCATTGATAGTGCGATAAGCGTCTGGAAGTGCAGCAAGTCGAGACAGAAGCTGGAAACCTTCAACAGTGACCTCCTCCGTATCGAGATGAGATGCCACCGCTTCAACAAGACGAGGAATGCCCGTAAAGTTAAAAATGCTGTAGAGAAGCCGAATATCAAGAGCTGTGATGTCAAGGTCACAGCACCAGACGTCAGTATAAGAAATGTATACCATAAACAGCGCTATTGGCACACACTTTGCTCGTGAAGACCGTTTAGAGTTCCAACTGCGTGCCACACGAGCTCCGTGTCTTTAACATAGAGCTTCATTGCCGTCATCGTTAGTGCAATGCCGTTGTTATCGATGAAAGTCGCTGTGATCAGTGCTATAAGTTCAGGTCGACAGGGTAAGATAATGGGTCTGTATCAATCGTAGAAATGAACTCACCATTCGTGACAAGAAATCCCAGGGGAATTAGCACAGCTCGACAAATCTGCAAAGTGTGGTCGTATCGTTTTAGCAATCCAAGTAGCTCCAGCACAAGGTCTGGCGACGACACTGATTCCTTCACCAGATCTAAGAAAACAATCAGTTCCGGAATATTTCCCCTAAGATTTTACTAAGCTCGTCCTACCGTTCATCACCAGACTGCCGAGTGCTCGACAGGCTGAAGCAATGACATCGTGTTTGTTGTCATGGAAACGGACGCATTTCATCAAAATCTCTTTGGCGTCGTCCGCTGCGAGGAATTCAAGTGCTCCATCAACTAAAAGTTCATAATATTTGTAAGTAAAATAACGCAAAGGAATATATCTTCCTGACTTCACCATGCAACTTCGAGTAAATGTCGATACAGTCAAGTACTGGAACTAGCACATGCTCATTGTGTACGAACTTGTGTAATGCAAAGACCGCGAGTTGCATCCCATTGGCCCCAAAGAAGTCGAAACCTGGATTGTATCCGAAAGTTTGACTGCCACAGGCAAAGTAGAAATTGCCCACATTGGCCAACGTCTTGAAACCCGAGAGAACAGCCCACGCGTAATTAATCTCTCGACTAATAGATTCGCAGATACTAGGCACACCACGAGACTTGAGCAGCGTCAACAATTCCTTCTCCGCTGAAGACAACACAACACATCAACCAACAACACCAAACAACGTCACGCCGGGGAGCAGACGAACCTTCCGTAAGCTCGACAGGCTTATCCCCGTCGCCATCGACGTCGTTAAGCGGATGGTAAGCTCTCATTATCGTCTGGTCACTCGAAGCGACTCTAAAATCTAAGGGACACTCTATTCAGCGATGGGATAATACTACGGTTGCTCATATTACAATATTAACTCGCCTCAATCAGGCTGGAAAAACTGTTTTCTCTCCTTCCTCTCGGAGGTTCCGAGCTCTTTTTATTCCGCTCGGTTGCTCGCTTGTTGTTGTGTCCTCATCTTGGGGATCCATTTCCTTGTTGACTGCACTCGTCAATCGCACGCAATTTTTGTCATGCAACACCAAATTCCTGGTACAATGGGGCTCCAGCTTCCGTCCGCGGCGCCCCGGGCGGTAGATGAGTTTGGTAGATTCCAGAGACTTGTGTGTGTTTTTTACAAAGCCTCCTCTCTATAGCCACACGTTCTGCGCAGGCTCCTCGTCGTCGTACAGACGAGAGCCCATGCTCACACTCTTGGACGCTCCAAAGTTGTGGGAAGATGCCGGCTGCGGCGCCAAGCTCATGGATGTGCCACGGGTGATGATGGGGCCCGATCCAGGCGGCCGTGAGCTCATCCGCCGCAAGTTACTGCGCGTGTTGTCTCCAAAATTGATGGTCGTATGACGGTCTGTAACAATAAGAAATACGGTTAGCGTTAGGGATCTCTAAAATTTCCGTAAAAATACTCTAATCAACGCACCAGTTCTGCGTCCCATGGTTCCAGCACTCTGCTGTCGCTTGAGAATGGTCTTCTGCTTGTCCAATCGGTCCAATTTCATAAGCACATCTCTCCTCTGGGCCAAAAGTTGAGCCAGATCAATATCACTCTCTCGTCCTGAGTCCGACATCATGGTGATAGAGCTTCTGGGAATAGGGATGGCGCTGGGGTTGTCCAGCGCATTGGCTGCCGTCTTGGCGATGGTGGGACGAGCGATGCGTTTGTATTCCTTCATGGCCACGACTTCTCCGTCGTCTTTGACGTCGTGTTGCTTCATGCAGTTGATACAAAAGCCCAATTTGAAAGGATTGGGCTTAAACTCAGTGCACAAATTCTCCTCGTCCGGGTCGTCCACAGGTTCTCCCCATCGCGCGTGAATTACAGACGGAGAGTTTATGGGACTGCCCAGAATACAGTCGGCGTCGAAAGGCTGCAGTTCGATAGGGTCTCCAGCCAGGTATCCGGGGTCCTCGTAAGAGTGGTAAATAGGGGCTGGGTCTTCCTCGGGCATCGGCGCGGGGCGGCGGCCAGTCTCTGTGCGACTGCGATGGAGTCGCGACCTGTTGAGAGGGTTGGGCTCATCGAAAGATGGCGCGCGCGGTGGGCGGGCAGCGCTGGCGGCGTGGCGACGAGGTGCGTGGAAGCGCTCGGATAGAGATTGACGTCTGGATAGAGTATTAGCGTTAGAAATAGAGTAGAAATAGAGTATGGGGTAAAATTGACGCACTTCTTGCGACGACGACGAGCAGCCTTGTCCTTGTTGGCAGGAGGAGAGGGTGCCTCTAATAACGTGTCGAGATCCACGCTCTCCACGTTCGGAGCAGACCATCGCCCACGTTCGCGTTCCCGTTCTCGTTCGCGGTCAGTGCGTCGGCTGCAAAAAGGTAGTTCGCCATTAGTGACTAGTGTTAGAGCGACAGGAGGCACGCAAATGCTTACCTTTGCAGAATTACACCGTGTTCACTCAAGACGACTTGCGACTGGTCGGGTGGAGAGACAAACGAGTAGCAAAAGGTTAGTCGGCATTTTGAGTCGCTTCCTCTCTCCCTCGCTTGAGTTTTTACCTCGCTGTTGCGCGTGCACGTGTTGCCCATGGTCCGGCGGAGGCAGCGTGCGCTGCTGTGTCTGGATGTGGTAAGGCCTTCCTGATGCCTTCTTTCGCCAGCAAGCCGTGCACTGCGGCGACGGCGGGAGAACAAGGGGGTAGCGCCTCCGGATTCGGGCAGTCGGTCTGGAAATGCAGGACAGTGAAGCGAAAAAAAGCTCCCCCTTTCGCTCGTTAGGCCACGCCCTTACTCACGCAAACAACACTTGGCCTCAGTATGCCGAGTCCCAAATCGAGGGAAAATTCATGGGCCTGTCTGCTGCTCCCTCCAAGAGAGGCAGTCTGCGCCCGAATCGGATTTTTGGCTTGATGTTTGTATGGCTTAGAAACGCGATCATCATCCCGTCTGTGCACGAGAAGAGGCAGAGATTGACTTGATGATTGTATGTGTTAGAAATGCCTCCGAGACACCACGAGCTATGAAAAGGGGCAAAACACCTCACTAGGAGTTAATTCCGCGCTCTCAAAAGTGCATGTCGGGAGCGTTTCCTTTGCATAGCAGACAACTAATCTGCGATGGTTCAAATAAATCCTGAAATGAATTGAGGTGCGACGCTTGAGTCGTTCCAGGGGAGCTATATTTGCTGTTGGTCTGTGTGACGAACTGTTGCGATGGCGATTCCGTGACGCCAACATACATTTTTTTCGGAGGGAGGCGAATTCATGGAAAAACAAAGGTGACAGCATTTCAAAGTCGTATTTGAGATGACGTTCTTTGTATCGAGTGTCTGACACTTGTTGTGTGAGGCTACAGTAGCGAAATACCTATCTTGTCGCACCGGGGTAATAATAAGCGACATTGGCTGTCTGAAAGACGAGAATACAAAATTATTTGGGCTTTGTTCGTGCCATTGGCAAGACACAAGCCTAGGTTAGAAGTATCGACACTACTCACTGGATATGGTTGTGAGCCTCCTTGACATTGTTATCGAAGCTGCATCGCCCTTGGCGGAGTAGGTATATTTGGAGAAATTGGTCATTTTGCATTCGTAGATGAGAGCACCACCGGAACTACATTTTCTCAATTCGTCCAGCATCCTGTGCAGTGTGTGCTACGATGGCAAGGAGATACATAACATGACTTTACACACAATTTCTACTCCAGCTCAGGTACTCTTTAATTGAGGTTAATGACGTGTGCTGGACAAACTAACTGGTCGCTCAAGTCACAATTGGGTTGTGTACATTTGCGATCTACAATCTTAGCTGTCAATTAACCACAACGTAGACAATAGGATTACAGGGCCTATGACGAACTTGATAATTGAAAGCTCTCGAAATCAGGGCAAGAACGTTCACGCGGCCTATTATAATAACCGTAGACGAATTTCCGTAGACTGCACAGCAACCAAAAACCTCTCACGCGGGGCCTCTGTGCTCGATACGACTTGTGCCATCTTTGCGAACGTGCAGTTACTAACGCCGTTTTTTACTGCGACAAATTGCAACCCCATCGAGAAGTGTGCATCCCACTTCACTCGCCAAGAACTTGCAACCAAGCTTTTGAACACCGCTATGCCTCATTGAGGACGGTAGCCACCTCATTAAAGCGTTGAAGGGGTCCATTTTTGCGGTAAAGTCGATAGTTCAAAAAACGGCCATAACGATTTCTATTTCTATCATGTTTCTAATTGACCGGCGCCAGTTCAACACACAGCCATTTGCGATCTGCGACTTGTGCAGACGCCGTCTCGGTGGTGCCGCTGTCGTCGGCCGCGGTGTCGGCAGCAGGAAAGTGCCAGTTGTCGCCGACGCGCTGCGGTCGTGCCGAGTACGGCAGTGGCTCGTCGACGGTCACACGACTGCCGTGTACCTGATAATGAACCTGATGGCGCTCCTTCCAGCGACGGAAAGCGCGGTTGTGGATCATTTGGAAGTGGTGATCGCGCATCTCATCGTTGGAGACCATGAGGGTGCGACCGCCGAGCTTTACCGCAGTATAGAGCCAGTACCAGTCGTCGTTGTTGCCGTATTGGCAGTTAAACATCTTGTGGCTCGCTCGCCACTCCGCGATCTGTGCGCGATGCTCGGCCGGCACCTCCTCGTCCGAGGTGCGGCGCTCGTGTAGCACGATCAGCACTTTCTTGTCCTGTACTTCATAGTGCTGCACCATGAGTTCAATCTGCGCGTAATTGAAGCCACCACTGCAGGACAAACATTCGGACCAAGTGTCCCCATCGAGTTAGTCTCCTGAGTCCCGCACAGCCCAAGAAAAGGTCGAGCAGGTGTTACAAACACACGAGTGTCATGTCAATACATGTAGGGACGCACCCGTCGAAGTTCTGGTTACAATAGCCCACATTGGCGGCATCGATGACCACGTCGAAGGGTCCAAACTCCTCCAGCCACTGCTTGAACTCGTCCCATTGCGCCATGCGCTTCTCGTCCGTGCGCACGAGCTTCTCGATCTAAAAGAATCAAGGATGGTCAGATCTCAGTACACTGCCGTAAACGGAGCACATGGCTCCGCTCCCCGTCATTGCGCTCTACTCACCTTCGCCAGTAACTCGGTCGTCACCTCCGCTGACAGCTCCACTGACTGCAACTGGTCACCTGTCACGGAGCAAACGCCCTCTTTGCTTACAGTCCCCTCCGTAATTCTCCACTTGCGGCCGTCCACCTGTGCTGCCTCACTGCAACGAAACCATATCAGATAAAGGTGTTAAACCACCTTAGCTACCACCCTGGCAACTAAGCAGCCAAATGCATCAACGCACCTGTTAAACCAGTCGTTCAGCACGTCCCAAGTCGACAAATTCGGTTGCCAAATCTCGTCAATGAAGCTCTCCAGGAACGCGTAAAAGCGCTCACTATTGCCAGTCTTCACGCACGCACGTAGCAGCGCCACATAGTCGTCCTCGGTCAGCTCCAGCTCGTAAGAAAGCAGCTTCTCGTGCACCCAGATGCACTTGTCCAAGTTGCCTGCGTCGCTGTGGGCTTGTAGTAGCGGGCCGAACGTGCGCAACTTTGGCTCCACTTTGGCGGCTTCCATCTCGGCAATGATCGTCTCGCACGCGTCAAAGTCCTGTGCCTTACTGCAGAGCTTGATCATTGCGCTGTAGATGGGTTCACCCGAGTCCGATTTCTTCCTCTGCTTGGAGCTGGCGTTGGCCTGCTTCATGTCCTGATACACTTTGTAGGCTCCGTCCTTAAATGCCGCTGGGTCGTTAGCCTTGCTACACACGTTGATGACTACGTTGTAAATGTATGGGGCCACGTTCATGCCCTCGCTCTTCATCTGTTCGTACACCTCCAACGCACGAGTGGCATCGTTCTCCTGGGCGCAATTCTGAACTTGGATACGGTACTGGTACTCAAGCTTTTCCGCTGGTGTCTACGGGTTGCAAGAAAAAAAAAAAAACGGGTTATTGCAATTCGGTCCATGGAACGAGAAAATGAATTCATTGACAAACCTGCCTCCGCTCCCGCCGACGCTGAGTTTTAGTGAGTTTGCGCGCTGGAATGGCCAACATGGACGTGTTAGGTATCGCTAGCATGAATGCAAAGCGTGTGGTGATTGTGCGCACCTGGTTCGGCGCCATCGGCCACCAGCGCGACCTCTGCTGGACGCTTGCTTCCTGTGACGGTGGCCATTCCTTTCCAGGATGAATTTAAGATTTACACAAACCGATTTAGTTATTCATTGAAATAGTTTAAATAAAATTACGTATTTAATGATTTTTTAAAGGAAAAACAAAATAATTTTATGTGCATTAGTTTTTTTTAAATTTATAAAATCAATTACAAATGTATTTGCTATTTATGATTTATGTTTTATTTTATTCGATTTCACAAAAGTGTTGTTAGCTACAATCATTAATTTGGAAGTCTCAAAACGAAAGTTGGAAAGACATGTTCAAAAGGAGGGCGCTATCGCTCTAACTATTCAAGTGTTCCCTCAATGATATGCTCGCCACACTTGTGGCAAACATACTAACCTTATCACTCAGGTGTAGGGGTGGTGTTCTTGAGGACGATAATGTTTAGCCGCACGTCACATTTAAATTAATTGTAAGTATTGTGGCATTCATCCTTTTTGGCAAAACGGAGGGTCCGAGATGGGAAATAGAGGGTCCGATATCATGTCTGACTCAAAAATACAAATATATCTTACCTGAATTATATGTAGGGATGGGTTTATTTTTCTATAAAAGGTCTCTTTTAGATGCCACTGTCCGTTTTGCCGACATTCACCGGCAAAAGTGAGCAGCTGGCTACTAGCTCTCAAGCCACCACTTGTCAAATATCTCTTGCAGCCACAAAGCCATGACCTACTCTGATGACTATCGCTGGAGGGCCGTCGTTTTGGTTCACGTCTACGGAGTGCCTATTGAACACGTTGCATCGCTCCTTGGGCCCAAAGAGCAAACAATTCGTCGGTGGTATGTTCTCTTTCTAGAGCGAGGGACGGTCAACGAGCACAGTGAGCGAGAGCGGAAAGTGCGATAGCCAGCAAACGTGCTAGCCTCTGTTACCAAGTATGTACAAGAACATCCAACTTTCTACTTTGAGGAGCTCCGTGAACATATTATCGAGCAATTCCCGACACTTTCAAATGTATCGTCATCCACGTTGTCGCTGCTTAAATTTCGATCTCAATTTCAGTCGCAAAGTGTTGGAAAAGGCTGCTCGTGAAGCCATTCCTGCTGAAATTCAAGTTTGCCGACAAAAAATGCTGCCACTCTACTCTAATCCGGAACAACTAGTTTTTCTCGACGAGACGGCTAAGGACGGACGTCATGCTTATTGACGTTACGGATGGTCGAAAAGAAATATACGAGCAGTTGTCAAGTAGCCATTCCGACGTGGCAAACGTCTATCGGTGCTGGCGGCACTCGACGTTCACGGGTTCTTGGGATGGAAATTGACGGAAGGAACTTTTACTCGTGAAAATTTTCACGAAGCCTTTCTTCGTCACGCTGTTGATCTAAAGCCATTGCCTGCGCTGTCGTATTATCTGCGGGAACCTCGAAAGTAGCTGTATCTGGGCGTCTTGCATGCACGACGTCAAGATGATGAGCTGTAATGGCACCAAAACTCACTGCATTATCAGTGTGGTGAAGTGACAGTTGGCTTCTGGGGACAAGGGACTGATTGATGGGAAATGACCCGATCCAGACCTGAGACTCGTGGTCGACGACGGCGCATCAGTGATTACCTCATCATCCACGAGGATGACGTAATCACCGGAGTGGATCGACATGGTGCAATTATTTGGGTACGCGATCTACCGCCAAGGACTCGATCTACTGTGGACACATCATCTGATTTGTACCCACGGTAAGTACCACGCGACCAGGCTACAGAGGGGATAGAAAGG